CAACACAACTATTCAACGCGCTTCTTCTTTCAAGAATCCTTATGTTCTACCAACTATTTGTTTCCATCGATCGTATGTATGCAAAATTTCATCGAGATCCGTTCAGCCGTTCTAGAGATACCTTTAAACATCCATCCATCTAAACATTCGCATTTATAATATTAGTACGATTATTTCCCCATAGTGTAAATACCTCGCTTATATTTTACTAATGTTTCATAGATAATTTAATTGTGACGTTTCGCATATTAAAACTATTTATGGTTAGTATGAAAAAAAATGACGGCAAAGTACGTCATTATAGGACTGGTTTTTTTATACAAATACCACGCAAAGTGATTTAAAATTTATAAGTTGTTTTTATACATATATTATTAATGTACCGTTAATCAAAGATTTATTTAGTATTGTACAAATTCAAAGGGATCATAAGAATGGATAATTAAATGATTTTGCGTAATTAAACATCTCAATTATTGACAATTAATTCGTTATATTCGAGAACGTCCGAACGATAAAAATCTACAGATACTAGCTGTCACCTGCGACTCCGTCCGCGCGGTATTAAAAAAAATCTTCATTAGTAGCATATGTGCTCTTCCCGACTATGTTCTACGTCTATATCAAATTTCAGCGAGCACCGTTCAGCAGTACCGGAGATACCGGATAACTACCCGGATACCTTCAAACAAACATCCATCCATCTAATCATTCGCATTTATAATATTAGTAAGATAGTCGTAGACATTTATTCCCTATGTATTTTGCAAATATGTTCTTGTAATAGCAACAAACATCCATCTATCCAAACATTAACATATCGAGAGTCGGCACAGCATGCACTACTCCTCCATACATCTCTATCAGCCGTCATATCCGAGTCTACCCCCTTCTTACGCAAATCCTCTTTCACACAGTCATTCCATACTTTTTTGGTCTTCCCCTACACTTGTAGCCATCCACATTCAATTATTTATAATGTTACTAAGATTAAATATTACCACGAATTCTTTGCCTACACAAATTTGTTTATCCCAAATATACATTGTGATACGAGAATTTTAAAATAAAAAATCTATAATGTCGTTCTTCGGTTAATATTTCCTAATGTCTTGATCCATCAATAAACACAGACGGTTGTCTAAACGAACCCGTTTTACCGTCTTTAAGTAAATTAACTAAGTACCTTCTAAATATAGAAATGACTCTCTTCACCTTAACTTTTATGGTAATAGCCGCATTCATTTGTTTAATCAGTTTTTAATTATTTTAAACACGACTAATCGATTTTCAAAGACAGTTATTATTGTTTTTATACACCTATACCTACTTATGATAATAAAAACTCACGTGATCCAATCTAATATTATAAATGCGAATGTTTAGATGGATGTTTGTTTGAACGTATCTCCAGAACGCCTGCATGGATCTTGTTGAAATTTAGCATAGATATAGAACATAGCCTGGAAGAACGCATAGGCTGCTAATTAAGTTTTTCTTTATTTCGCGCGGACGGAGTCGCGAGCGACAGCTAGTGCAGTAATATAAGAACGTGAAGAAGAAGAACCTCGTGTTTGGTTTTGCTTGCAAAGAAGCTAGACTGATTTCGTCAGCGCAAAATTTAAAAAAAAAGTGTCCGCGTGCATCTACGGTCCAGTCTTTCCGGAGATAACCCGTAACAAACGAGGTATTGCGGATAGACACAGACAGACACAGACAAAAATTATAAAAGTTGGTTTTTCGTTATCAACAACGCTAATATCATGTGTACAAAACACTGTTTTTTTGCAATATAACATAGAGACACTCCAATTTTAATATGTATAGATAAAACTTAAGACTTGATAATTTCGGATCCTCACCTTCGAAGGTCGAATACTAATGTATGATGCCGTTTTTAAGAATTCTACATTTAAAAATAAATTGCTTGATAAATTCGCTGAGATACGCAACATGCATTTCATATGCAATTCTTGATCAGGGCAAACGTTTTTATGTTATAAAACAGATACTGAATGATCAATAAACATACAGATGAATCGTGAACCTTCTTTTTGAAGTCGGTTAAAGAATAGGTTCTGACTCCATTTATATTTCTACTCGAACGTTACTGAATATAGCGTGACCAGAAAAATAGTTTGTTTTATATCATAAGGTGGCAAACGAGCGAGGGGCCACCTGATATCGCCGAAATAGCGAAGTGACCGTTGCCCATAGACATACGCAAATTGCATATGCATTGCCTACCTTTAATCGACGGCGGGGAGGATGCACAGAAAGAAAATATCTTCCCTTTCCATGCATCCTCTTCTCAGGAAAGTCCACTTACACTTCCCATCCTTTCCTTGTAAGAAAAAAGGTGGGAAGGGAAAGAGGACTAAATCAGGCGTCCGAGACGCACACTCATCAGACGAAACGCGGAATTACTTCCGCGTTTCGTCTCGGAATCTCGGAATGTTCCGAAAAATGTAGGGAACTAATTTTTGTTCAGAACAATCTTTGCAAAAAATCGTTTATATCGTGGAGCTAAAGACCATACTTTTTCCCAAGACGGTAATTTAAGATAGGCGTAAATAGGCAACGTATTTGAAATTGCGAATGTCGATTTTCAGCAGTCACTTCGCTGTTTTAGCGAACTTTTCACTTGCCTGTTTGCCATCTTATCTTATATAAATAATTTGTGTGACGATGTATGTTCGCGGTAAACTCCGAAACTACTGAACTAATTCTTATCAAATTTTGTAAGTATGTATATTTTAGTCTAATTTTGGACATAAGGTAGTTTTTATCTCAATTATTGATCTATTTTCTTAATTAGGTAACGATACGTCGCGGGCGACAACTATCTTACTAATATTATAAATGCAAAAGTTTTGATAGATGTTTGTATCTTCAGAAAATAGCCTGAGAGAACAGAACACATAGGTTACTAATAAAGTTTTTGTTTAATTTTGCACGGATGGACCCGCGGGCGACAGCTATAATATTATAAAAGTCTGGTTCTTCAAGATATTGGGAGAACTTGTTAAAGAATGATCGAGATTATATCATAATATTTGCTTATTTTTTAACCTGTATACGCGGAAATGTTGAATAACAAGTGTTAATATAAATTCTGTTAACAAAACCATAAAGTTTTTTGTTTGATAACCTTGCCCTTTATTAGATTTATGTAAGACTAGCTGTCGCCTGCGACATCATCCGCGCAAAATTTAAAAAAAAACTTAATTAGTAGCCTATGTGTTTTTCCATATGTTCTACATCTCAGTGAGCGATGAGCCGCGTCTGCGAAATAATACCAGCCCCGCTCACCCTGATGAAGGGCCCCCGATGAGCTCGAAACTAGTTGGTGCTGGCACCGGACGAATATACGTGAGTGTTTAGCCGTTTTTATATAAGTTCTACATATATGCGAAATTCCAACGAGATCTATACAGTCATTCTGGACCTTACAAACATCCATCCATACATCCGAATATTTGCATTAATAATATTAGTAAGATTTGAATAGGTACGGCATGGCAATAATTTAGAAGAAAAACATGTTTTATGATATGAAAAACTTAATAGAAAACCAATATGACGTCCTTATCTCGTTTAGAATTGACATAAATTTGCCGCGCTTTTATTAGTGTTGTTTTTTTTTATTTTTTCCTGTATACTTATTAATATTACCCACTTTTAGGGTTCCGTGCCTCATACGAAAAAACGTAACAAAAAAGCAATTTTGATATTACATATTAACTATGACTCGATTGTAGTGAACTTTTACTTATACCTACAGGTTTGTTCGGAACCCTCGGGGAGCGAGTCTGACACGCACTTGACCAGTTTTTAAATTATTAAATACAAGCTACATTTAGTTTTTTTATATCACATTTACAGAAACAGGCTATAGGTCATATTGTAACTGTTAATTTAGTAAAATCTACTTTCAATGATAAATTGATAATATTTTAAAAGATGACATATCTCGTAGAATCGACCGTTAGAAAGAAAGGTCCTCGAGTGCTTGACCTTGTATTGGAAAACGAAGTAATGCCACTCGTATGATACCACGACCTACAAAATATATAAAAAGAAGGTGGCATGGTAACTGACTTAAAATAAAAAAATATTAGATTCCGTGCAATTCAGGTTGACAAGCTAAAAAAGCATTCTTATATTATTGCAAAACATAAAAAATACGTTTATTTCTTATGGTCAAACATATTAAACCTGAGCCTACATTTTAAAACATATGAAAATATCTTAATTCTACTATAATTTCTTTTAAAAAAAATTGGCCTCCGATAACAAAAACTCTAGTCAAAAAATCGTTAAAAATCTTTAACTAAAAAAATGTAAAAAAAATCTTCAAATTGTACTTTATGGTTAGTCTAATAATAAAGGACAGGAAGTTTACTTCTCCAAGTTGTATGGACAAGTTAAAACCAACGGTCGGCTGTCAACTAGAGTTATTGAAAGAAAAAATAAACGCCTCACGCTCGAGTCGATATAACGGAATCACCGAATAGTTAACATTAGGGTTAAGTGTTATTGTTAGTAGATTAATCTTTATAACCTTATAAAATATGACAAAATTGACAAAAAGAAAAAAATATATAAATTTAGTTTCACGTTTACGACATCTTTAAAAAGCATAAGTATCCGAACTTAACTTTTTCAATTAAATTTTGTATAATATGTTTTTTGCTATTTAGTTTGTAAGACTGGCACTTTTAGTTTTTTTTTTAAACATTTTTAAGTGATTACAAAAGTTCGCAGCAATTATTACAATTAATCTAAATCGTAGAAAAAATAATTGCTTTGACCCAATTATAATTTCAATAATTATTAAAAAATTAAACAGACAAAATTGCCTTCTAAATATTTTAAGCAAAACTTTTAGAACAAACGTTCAAATCTTTAAGCGAAACTTTTGTGGACGCTTTTTAAATCTCTAAACCAATTTAATTCTTAGCATTACATCATATAAATAATTAAAAAAATATACTCACTTAGCACCACCATAACTATTTGATGAAATTTACTTCCCTCTGAGCAATACTTTTTTACTGTGTACTTAAGCATTTTGGATAAATTAAAAAAAAATTAAAAACGGCCAGTAATTAAATAATTTAAAAAAATATAGTGAATTTATCACTATTCAAAAGAGTTTAAATATAAATTGAAATCATATTTTTTTTGTTTCGAATCGTAGCCGTTAAAAAAGGCGCGGAAAGCGCGCGCGGTCAACCGTATTCTAATTTCGAATGAATAAGTCCCAATGGAATCGCCGGCCGGCTTGTTTGCTTGTTTATATGCGTCTCTCAAGAACATTTAAGCGACCGTTGTCTGATATCAATTAAGGGTACGCTTCACTACAATCCTGTAAAAAAATATATTTAAAATAAATACTGTAAAATTATAAATAACTTTCACGTTAAATTTAGAATTTACAGTAATATTAAATATAATTATATCGAAATTTTTCACAGTTCACAGACGGACAACATTTTTGAGTTTTTAGTGAGTGACAATTACTTTGATTATGGTTTCTTCGTCAATGGAGCCAGTTGTAACTTGCACGTTCGATTTTTAAAAATACAGAACTGACCGAAAATAATCAGAACAGTCTGTATTCCGATGCCACGATGCATCCTAAGTGTGTAGGTTGCTATGCCACAGCGGAATGGCTCTTCGGACAATTACAACTCCTTTCCTTTAAAAACTTAATTTCTCCGCAGTTGTATTCCATTCGTCCAATAGTACGATTACTCCAAATTCCTTATTAATTTTTAATCCAATGCATATTCCACTTCCTTTTCTAACACTCCCACACAACATCACACATACATCGCTACATTTAAACTATTAATTAAGCAAATAATGTATTTCAAACGACTATTAATTATCACATCGTGACTTAAAAGTCAGTTAGGGAAGTGGCATTCGAAGGAATTAAGCGAAAGAAAGTACGTCTCATAATAATGAAGGCACGTATCGTATTATAAGAAGTTTGTGACGCAGAAACGCGGCCCGGCGGCGCCGAACTGCGTTTGCGCAGAATAAGTACTAAAATAAATTAATTAATTCACGACCAAATCCAAGGGAGCAAGACAAATCGAATGCTTTGAAAATGTTGATGAAAATTAAACACGTTTGAATATCAGAAAATTTGCTATTTTACCTTAGAACAGTGATTCTTGAATTTCGCAGACTACTTAAAAATAACTGGTTTATAGGAACCTCAACATTATTATCATGTCGGCTCATCCATGGCTTCGCGGCACCGTCTGACCAGGACCAATTTCTGGATAACTGCCTTCGAACATTCAATGAATAGAACAAGATAAACATGACTAAGTTTGTCGATAGAAGTTGAAATAAAGGTTTTTTGACAGTTGACACGTTCCTGGCACACCTTTCTAGCATGTTAATACAAATATCACGCCATTTGAGCCACCTGATGGATAATATAGAATAAAACATCGAAATTAATATTGTAAAAAAGTTAATGAACTTTGCCTCTTCTCTCATCGTACATTCCGGTTTTGTTGTGAACTTTAATAAACTAGAAACGATTTTATTCTAATTTGTATCAATAAAAAGTGGTGACGCAACTTCGCTTTTAATTTACACTAAAACTTATTGTAAATTTCGTTATACGTTTGTTTAATCTTACTCTTACTAATATTATAAATGCGAATGTTTAGATTGATGGATGTTTGTTTGAAGGTATCTCCAAAACGGCTGACTGTCTCGACGAAATTTGGCATACATATAGAATATGGTCTGGAAGAACACATACAGTACTATATTTTTTTTCGGGCGAACGCTATTTTTAAATAAATACAAGCGAAATTAATATCTGAACTTATTTACACAAATGTAAATTGAAACCTCAATTTCTAGCAAACAATTCGTAAGACTCGATTTAGAAATATCCAACGAGGAACCGAAATATCACGTTTTACTTGAATTTTCTTCAAACACTTTGATGTAAGGATCATTTATAAGTCGCGATAATTGAATATTTTTATGTACTAAGCTCAATTTATATTTTTCAATCTTACTTCTTACTATTATAATACCGGTGTAATACCACGACCAAACAGAAGACAGGTGTTTGTCTAATAAGTGTGCATGTCGGAGGCCTAATTTTAGTCCTCTTTCTCTTCCCACCGTTTGCCTATTAGTAAAGCATGGGAAAGTGGATTTTGACGGAGGATGAGACGCATGGGAAGGGGAAGTGGATTTTGATGGAGGATGAGACGCATAGGAAGGGGAAATATTCTCTTTCTGTCCGTCCGATCTTCCGTCGATTAAAGGTCCCTTCGCTCTGTAAACCGCTTGCTCGTTTGCCAACTAATTATATAAAAAAGTAATTTTCTTGGTTTGACAAGACGTGCGTCTGGTGTGCTTCCATGGACGCGTACTCCAGAAATTCCAGAATTCGAGTCACAAAATAGATTGTAAATAAACTTCTTTTTTTCGACCTTTTTTATAATCTAGCATCGTCAAAAGAAGAAACAAAAACTGTCAAAGTGACAAGAGCAACAATGGTTGTTATGTTTTGGTTAAAATTCTAAATTATATAATGGCCTGTTGGCTGATAGTGTATACATGTCAGCTACTAGGGCTTCTGGTACAAGGACTAGATGTGCAGGGCCAGCCACAAAAGGGCCATAGCATCTGCAGCTCGTATGGATATGAACTAGTGGAAGGTATCTTCGGCAAAGAGACATATTGGCTGTGCTTGAAACTAAAGTCTATTGGTCGGTATTATGATTTTTATTATGTTTACTGAAATAAATATTTTGGTTATTTTTTAAAATTGTTTTCATTTGTACAAACTTAATATTTGATTACGAAAATTATGCTTAAGTTCAATGACAATATTTTAATTTACATTTATTATAAGTCGTTAATTCTTTTTCACATTTACGAAAAATATATCAAGATTTTTTTTTACTAAAAAAATTTAATTAACTGGGATTTCATGAAGTTCTAGTTTTAAATATATTATTATCGTAGGTTCATCGCCACTAGCAAGCCAACAGACCGCTTTGCTGGTTGACCCGGAGCCAGAGGACTTAAAGCAAGGAGGGGATTACACGCTAGCAGACATCACTATGGCCTACGGTTTCCCTGTCGAAGACCCAGCGGCGGGCTCAGCTGAGGGCTACATTGGAGAAGACCATCAGTTCTATGGAGTATTACATTTAGGTATAGAAAGTGTAAATCTTTTTGGCGGCTCGAGGTTTCACATTAGTGTTGTGTGCAGCGAATTGTGCGATGTTCCAAGCTGCCAGTATATTTGAAATTGTTTATACTTTTGTTACAATGATATATAAACTTTAGCATGAGTAAATATAATTTAGCAAAATGTAGAGAGGTGCTATATCGTGCTTACAATGTGAGCACCTAGCATCCAAATATACAGACAAGAGCTCTCTGCTAACTATGAGCCTTACTATTATTAGTAAAGCAACGATTAACAGTCTTCTTAATTAGGTAACCGTACATTGCACGCCGATCCATACGGTAGGGACAACCTGAACAAATCATTCGGCGCTTTCGAAAACGACCACATGGCGGCGCCAGCGCGCCCGCGACGCGATCATACCCAGGTGATCAGGTGAAGATGTTCATTTCACTCAGAAATACCTTACATACAATACCAAACACTTAACTTCGTTTTAGCCTTCTACTAAGTATTTAAGAAAAGCGTTGCTAGACAAAGTGCTTTTGCTATGAAACAATTCCATAACGAATTTCAAAAATGGAACTGAGGCGGGAGATTCGTTCGACTAAGCGAAAGTTATTGTCAGTCCTATACAATTTTGAAGTTATGGAATCGCTTCAAAGCGAAAGCACTTTGTCTAGCTCCGTTGTTATTTTAAAATTAGCTATATACCAAAATCATTTATCAAGTTAAGAATTAATAATTTTTATTAGGACGTCTAATTGTAATATTTTTTCATCAGCAAGAGACAATGAAGCCCATCTTTCCATATCAAATTGAGGAGCATAGTAAGAACGTTGGCATCGCAACCGCGAGGATATGCGATCTCCTCCTACTGGCTGATAAGGAGTTCTTTGAAAAAGACGCTAACTCAAGCTTGAACCACGTGGTGCGACGTATGATGCACGCGGTCGCACAAGCTGATATTATATTCAGGAATGCTGACTTTGACGAAGATGGAATCCCTGATAATATTGGTAAAGGACTACTTTTTAATGGAGAAAGTAGATAAGATAATAATTGACAGTCTATCTTGTTTTTTTTTTACTATTTAAGGCTTAATTCTATGGCGCAGTGACCGTTAGTGAGTCAAATTTCTTTATCCCAAGGTTTCTCCGTGAAGTATATACTTGTGCTAACATCAAATGAAACAAACGCCCGTGTGTTCGGCGACTTGCTTAAAGATCGGGCAATCGACGGTAGAAATTATTTGATGCGTTTCGCAAGACTACGCAGACTCTCTGAAGTCTGTCTCGGCGTTGCTTTCTCCGGTCACGTATTCCACAACAGAACTCTTGGATTAAGGTCAGTATGTTTAACTTTTTTTAATAAGATTAATTCGAGAGCCTTTGGTTCTGGTTAACACCACGTAACTGCGATGATATTAAAAAAACATTTGCCGCAATAAAACTGACAGGCGCTGAATTTAAAACCAATTTTTCTTACAAATATATTCAGTATGCACAACTATGATTCATAATAACGTATCTCGAAAGTTTAAAAGAAACGTGAGCATTGAATGTGTGTTGTAACTTGTCGCAGTTTCACGTCACTAGGCGGGGGTATGGGTGGCGCGGCGGGCGGGCTGTGCGACCGGCGCGCGTATGGCCGCTCCTTCAACACGCTGGCTCTCGCGCACGCCACTGCTGAGGACAAGGATCGAGTGCCTGAACGAATTGCTGCACTCACACTGGCTCATGAGATGGGTAAGAGAAACCAAAGAAGTCTTCAAAAAATCATGTCGGACATTATAACCGTCCACTATAAAAATAGATCTTAACAAGCATGTCACTAAAGCGAATCATTTTATTTGACTTTGTTGTAAAGAATTTTGCATGAAAACCAAACTTCCCTGAGTAATTACTTCATAATAAACGGATTCTAATGTAATTAAAACTACAAATATCGCGCAAAAATAAAAATATCTCACATGGGTTTTTTGCCATATTTGCAGGTCACAGTTTCGGTGCCCATCACGATGATAACTTCCCAAACCCAGAATGTCGCGGTTACCTAATGGGTTCCCAGTCGTCTACAACAGAGAGCATACATCACTTTGAGTTCTCTCTGTGCAGCAAGCGACTCATAGCTGCCACGCTAAGTAGTATGAGTTACTGTCTTATTGAGCAAGACAGACCTTACTGCGGGAATGGTATGTTGATAATGAGTCGACCGCCTTACATATTTAATTCGTTAAGAAATGTATTTTAGCACATTTGCTATTTATTTTTATCAGGTGCTTTACATAATCTTTGCATTAGGTATCGTGGAAGAAGGAGAAGCCTGCGACTGTGGTTTACCTTCGCACTGCAGCCAGAGAGACCCGTGCTGCACACCACGGGCTGGTGGCGCTCTGGTCTATGAAGAAGGGTAAGGACTACCTTCGAGAGATATTTTTAAACAGATAAAGACAGATGAGAAAGTGTTACATGGTCATAAAAACCGTCTTATTGTAATTAGGGCGTTGCACAAGGAAGGGTGCTCTGTAGCGCCATCAGCGACTTGCCATCCATCGCAAGGGCTGTGCTGCAACGCCGATTGTCAGTATGCCGACCTCAAGGAACACGGTATTGTAAGTTAATGTTGGACTATTCCTTTAAACATACTTGCTCTATTTATATTCTAAAGTGCGACATACTTATCTAATATAGTGGTTAATAATGAAAAAGTAGAATAGCGCCATTTTGTCTTGCGTACTCTTAGAGGGTAGGGCGGGAGGGGACCATTCAGCTTGTACAAGCCGAGACAACGAAACTGGGTCTTCAAGTCGCCTATTCCATCCACACTCTAAATTTCTGCAATGTCAAGGGTTTACATTTTAATGCAAGTCGGACGGCCAACCTAACATTGCTTCTCCTAATCGAGACGCAGATCTTTGCCGTAAAAGTTTTTTTTTTTTAATTAAAATATTAGAAAATTCTTTTGTAAATTTACTAATATTTCTTTTACCATTCCAACTAAGCTCTATATGCTTGTGCTATGACATGGTTTACGACAATAGTCGAATGGCGGGATTCGAACCCCCGACCTCGTGATCGGAAATCCGTACCCTGAACCATTAGGCTATTGACGCTTTTGAATTTTATTGATCCCACACTAATCATTTGCTTCTTATTCTTAACAACAATCTGTCATTTAAAGGTAATTTAGAGACTTCCTTATAGTAGACAAGTTAAAAGAACACTTAGGGATAACTTAAGTGGCTGTTAAAATAAAAGGACTCATGTACCAGGATTGCAGCGCTCAGTACGATGAGTGTCGTTGCGCGAATACATCGCAGTGTTCGTGCGGGCTGGGCGGGCGCTGCCTGCCCGACGGTTCGTGCCACGCCGCCGAGTGCGCGGAGCTCGGCCTCACTGAATGCAGGTGCAGCAAACGTGGCACGGTGAGACTGTCACAATGAACTCCTGAGTTTATAATGCAAGAGTTAATGGCCTAATAGGCCCAAGAGTCAGTATTAAAAGTGTAAAGCTTGCTCACATTATATTATCTCTTTTTATCAATACCTTCAACTAGCAAGAGTTAGGGAAACATAGTTATAAAAAAACAGAACAGGTAAAAAATTGATTTCTGCAGAATTCTAGTTGCTGAGCTAAGAATAAGATTTAGTGTTATTTAATATCAATACTAAGGGTTTTTCTTAGTGATTGGCGTATGTTTAGGGCGGTGCACTAGGCGAGCAGCACATGTGCGGCGTTTGTTGCCGGCTGCAGCGCGGTGACAGTGGTCTCAAATGTGTAGGCGCGGAGTTCGCGGCGCGAGACGCGCTGCAGGCCGGCGTGCTGCCTGATGACTGGCCAGATCCAGATTATGTTGGACGTTAGTAACCCTCAATTTTAACAATGTATTCTTTTATGTCACACGTGCTTGATTTCTTGGATGATAGGAATCTAACTAATATTATAAATGCGGAAGTTTATATGGATGGATGGATGTTTTTTAGAAAGTATCTCCGGAACGGCTCAACAGATCTTGATTAAATTTGGTACAGGTGTAGAGCATAGTCTGGAGAACACTTAAAACACTTATTAAGTTTTCTTTAATTTTGTGCGGACAGAATCGCGGGCGACAGCTAGTGTAATACAATTATGCATCTACACCTTTAGTTACGTGAAATCTCGTGAAAATAACTCGTTAGGGTGTGCGCGGTTGCGGACAGGGCGCCCCTTGTCCAACGCCCTGGGCGTTCACCCAACCGCGCGTTACACTAATGTCGGCACTGGTTTGACAATGACATTGACAGTTGTTTAAGGTTATGTATGTGTGTGGTTCCAGCGAACATATCAGTACGACTGTGTGGTCGGGGGCGATGCCGCGCGGTGCCGCTGCGCGCATGGCGACCCGGCGGGCCGTGCGTGTCCCTGAACGCGGTGGGTCTGTGCTCTGCGCGCGGTGTGTGTGATCACGCGGAGTACACGCCGCGCTCCAACGTATATCCAGATATTATGGTATGTTTCTGAGCTTCGCAACATTTTAAAAGCTTTAGATTTTAAGTTGTATTTAAATAATAGAAATTCATCAGTTTTTTTTTCTTTTAGTTTGATATTTTATAAGTACTAATTCGTTCTTTATTTTAATATTTCCGGAATAAATTCTAAATTTTTTTCAGAACGTAATGGTAAAGCAAAAAAATAAGAGCGTATCGTCAAGATTGTTTTCGCCTTTTTTATTGTTTTTGTTTTTTATTCATTTATTAAATAAAACGAAAGCTTGCTTTTCATTTTAATTTAAAGTTGAAATAAGTAAAGTCTTGTGTTCGATTTAATAAAAAATACATAACACAATTTTTTAAAAACAACAACTCTGATACATTTTATAATAGTATAGCAATTTAAAAAGATTTATTAAAGTTTTTTGCCACACTGAAAATAGCTATTGTTAGACCTTAATAATTACAATCCTTTGGTGCGAATGACATGCTTTCGTTACAAAGTCAAGTGTCAGAATGATTAGTGAGGGGACATAAATGTCGACTTTTTGGTAAAGCTAGTGTTGCGCCAGTACACCGGCACAGTGTCGGATTTTCTTTCTAACACTATAAAAAGGGTTTTGGTAAAGAAAATTGATAGTTTAGAATAGAAAAATCACAAAAGTCAACCATTTTTTATTTTTCATTATATTCTTTTACATGTTTAATATCACAATTTTAAACTTTACAATATTTTTACATTAAATTTACACAAAATATAAACAATAAATAATATTATAAATATTCCATTTTAAAGATTTTTTTTTTCATAAAAAAATAAAAAAAAATTTAAAACTTAGTACACAAAGCTTCTAACATTTTATAATAACAATATTTAATATCAAAGTCCATATCGTACCAGTAATTAACAGCGATACAGCCGTGACTCTGAGTGACGTGGTGATACCACAGACTGGGCAGATACAGACAATCACCTTTGTGCAAACGGACTTTATATAAATGTGCCTTACCAAACCTTGGGTACGCAGATAAATCAGGCTTTAAAGGATCTGTATAAAAAAAATAGATTTCACATTTATCGTAAACTACTCGTAAAGTAATTTCATTTTAACAAAAAAAATCAATGTCTCCGGAATGGGTTAAAAGAAATATTCCAAATTTCCATATTATGTTATACTAGCTATCGCCAGCGACTCTATCCGCGCAGAATTTAAAAATAAACATATAAGGTAGCCTATGTATTCTTCCAGAATATCTTATACATCTGTGAAAAATGTCATCAAGATCCATTGAGCCGTTCCGGAGATACCTTCAAACAAACATCCATCTATTATTACTTACTAATATTACTAATATATTAATACAAATGTTTGGATGTATGTATAGATGTTTGGATGAATGGATGGATATTTATAAGAGGGTATCTCCAGGCTGCATGTCGCTAACTAAAATTTGACATAGATGTAGAAGTGAACTGGAATAATACATAGGTATAATTAAGTTTTTATTTTAATTCAACGCAGACAGGGTTGAGGGCAACAGCAAGTATGTCACAAGGATTTTCTCTAGTATATTTAAGAGACATATCAAATTATGGTTCAAGTTTTTATATAAAAATGAAAGTTGCTTACCAACACATATCCATGGTAAAAGGGAATGTGCCTCCGATTTCTCTATACATAGTCCATCTTTGCTGTCTTTTTGGTTGTAATCTTTTAAGGTAATTGGTTCTATATGCCATGTATTATTAATCCTTTTGAACTCGGCCTGTGGATATTTTTTGTATGGAACATATGGTAAATCCGTTGGAGGAATTAATATGAAGTCTTTGTATCCGTCAATAACACAGTATATGTTCTCATATGGATCTTTGTGCACTGGAATGTGTAGTAGAATCTCGTTATCTCGAAAATTCATCTAGAACTTAACAAACAAAGCTAGGACTAATAATTTGATAGGCGATTCCTATAAGGTTTTTCTAATTTTCACTTACCATGGGTTTCTAACCAAAATCTCAGTTCAAAACATATTGTTATCTCTGTTTTGTTAAAGATAAAAGAGATGACGATATATTTTATACAGAGATATTGTTCTCAGAAACCCACGGTTTGCCTTTAATTATAAGTTATTAAGCATAAATATGTACTACATAGCCAATTCAGGGAAGTAATGTTTTAATTGAGCAACAAAGTCTAAATAATTCAATATGACAAGGGTTCAACGTAAGGGAACAGTATTTTTTTGGCATATTGAAGATTTCAACTTAACAAGGTTTAAGTGTTCCACAGATTATAGTTATTGTAATGGATGTTTGATCAAAATTAAATGTTTTTGGATTAACTGGTCAGTTTTATAGTTAGTAAATAAAGTGAAAAAAACCTTTAACACATACTAGAAGTAACAGCTCTTTCATCTCCCATCCAAAAATTAACAGCATCAGGTTTTTTATTGAATGCCTTTGTAGCAAAGTCTATGTCATGCACCACATCTTGAATCAGCTCCGGAAAATCTTCAGTCAAATTGGAATTCTGACGCTGAATATATGGTATGATGTTGTCACTGCAATTACAAATTTTTATCAATGTTTTTTTTTAAAGTGATATTGCAGCACAGGTTTTGATATTAACTTGCGGAGAACACAAACAATGGTGTATTGTCTACCTTAATATTAGTTTCATCATCATCAATACACTTTTAGGGTGTCTAGGCCATAGTCAACCAGGTTGGCCCACTGCGAGTTGACTTCTCACTTATCTTTGAATTTCTTCACAGATATGTTCAAGTTGCATCACCATGTTCTCCTTCACCATAGGAACGTCAGATAAATGTACATATGTAAATCAAAATTTAAGACATGTTGGTACATAGTGGGATTTGAACCCAGGACCTACAGCTTACAAGTCAAGTGTGTACTCCTGAGCCACCGACACTATAATATTAAATTGATTAAAATTTTAAAATAGATTTAAAATTACCTTTTATTATCAAGCATATTCAGAAATTCTCCCATAGGCATGTCCACTTCATGTGGAGTGACAAAATATTCTACACCATTTTTATCTTCTGTTATCCCATCGGCTAAGCCATTTGGTGTTATAGCCACTGTAACTATCTTATTACTAAAATTTTGTCTGGAATAGCATCAATATTTTATGTATGAATTTACATTTTTATTTAATTTAAAGTAAATGTTAGACTTTCTTGATGCAGCACTGTAAAATCAAAATGTAAATATTGTTTTATCTATACTCTAGACCGTTACAATGGAACATATAAATCCACTCTTTATCTCTCTCACTCTTTATCTGTATCACTCGGATAAAAAGGTGCAGGTCTCAAAGATTAGTCTTACCTAAAATACTCAATATTCCAATTTAATGTTGCTGGCCAGTTGGAACAACCACCTTTTATAACTACAGGAATATTTTTTGCTACATATTCTCGATGAAATTCAAGTGAATCAATAAAGTCGATTTCTTGTATGGTATATCCAAGATATAGTGCTAGAAATAGAAACTGCATAAAATAGAGAAACTTTATAACTTAGAAATATTCTTAAACAACGATATAAACTTACCGGTAGATTCCTCCTTAAGGATCTTTAATGCTTTCGCTATCCTATCGGTCATGTTTAGGTTATGGATCAAATAATTTGTGTTGTAAACAAAAATATGTCAATGTCAGTAAATCTAACCTCCGTGAAGTTAGCCGTTAGACAACACGCTTTTTTTTACATTTTGCGCAAATCGCTCCTCCCAAAAAACCCCAAGGATTAATAGATATTCAAGTTTAAATTAATTTTCAAAAATAGCAAATTCTCTAAAGAGTCAGCGGAGACTTAAAAAAAAGTTGCTTATAATATTATGCCCGCGTGCAGCAGCTTGTGGACATACAGACAGACAAAAATAAATTCATTTGCTTACAACTGCTTATTTTTGATTATTAAAAAATTTGATTAAAATTAATTCGTAACAAATGAAATGTTTTATTAGAAAATATATTGTAAATTTTTAAACAAATATAATTTAAATATATTTCATAGGCATTGGTTTCTTCAAAATTCCTTTTACAGGAGCAACGCTCATGTCATTTCCAGTTGAAGGTGGAGGTTCGGACGGTGGTACAAAACTCTCACGTGGTATTGCCTTTGCTCGCAGTAACGGTCGCGGAATAAATCCGTAGGTAGAATCAATAATTGTAACTGTAATAAAAAACGTAATATTTTATCAATATCTATGTAAGTAAAGTAAATTTTGGATCGCTGGCTACTTTATCGAAAGCAATATATTTTTTAATTTAATTTTTTTTTTATTTCGCGAATTTAGCGTCTGTCCTGAGTTCATAAAAAATATGCACTTATAAACAATTATAAGATATATGTGTTTTTTTAATATAAATGATCAAAATACAAATTTCATTACGTCCAGGACGTCCTTTAGCTTGTTCACCCACAGTTATTGCACTTTGCGTAGATCCTCTCATCATATTAAGATCGAAGAAGTCCTCGACGCCTTGTTTTGACATATCTATCTTGTTTCTAAAGTTCATTTGACGTAATCGTACGGCTTTATCGAAGCTTCGTAGAAAAGTTTTCGATGTATTATGGATCGCTATAGTGTCGAGAACACCTATATATAATAAATACAGAAATTATCATCTAATGAAGCCAATTTCGGTAAAAAATATCACAAGCCAATTGTTTTTATTAAATTATCTTTTCTTTTAATTCATAACATATAAGTTTACTCACGCAATTGAGCGCATCTTGCAATAATAATTTCTTTATATCTATGTTTCTTTGTCATGGGGTTGCCAGTAAAGTTAGCGTCAACCAAACAAATTAATGTGCAGAGATCGTCCGCTGTACCCTAAATATTATAGTGATTATTTAGATAATTAATTTTAAACCCGAATTCAAGCTTAACTTGTGTAAAAAACTTAACCTGAACGTCTTCTAATCTATTTTTCGATGCATTCAAAACTTCCAAACATCGTAATGGCTTTACCCAAGCCATATCCGTTAGCTTGTTCTCTGATACGTTCAAAATCTTCAAAGTCGTCTGGAATAATTGAATTTTCAACACCAATGGAACAAAGTTGCAGATGAAACTATCCTAAGTTATGGCAAAAGTAGTCCTCTTCCCCTTTCCATCCTGGTATAATAAAATATGGAGGGAAGTGGATTTAGCAAGGAAAGGGACGCTTACATAGTTTATCCCAATTTTAAGTGTTCACATGAATTGTAAGTATGAAATACTTACGCCAATAGCTAACATAGTTCGTGGATCAAAGCATAATGCGTCCGGCCCGTCTGCGTTTTGCTTTTCAATGTGTAATTCTTCTAAATACTTCAAACCAGTCATATTTTCAACAACGCAAATACAATTACTACCAAGGTACAGCTTCTTCAGTTTTGTCAGTTTGTCCAAACCCTCGATTTTAGATATTTTGTTCCATTGAAGGTGTAGATGCGTTAAATTGTACATTTCATCCAGATTGTCAATTTTGTAAATGTAATTATTGTGATAATAAGCGTATATAACGTGCGTTGGATTCCTAGGCTTTGGCTGAAAGAAAAATATAATAACATCGTAAAAATGTTTGTTTCATATACTGTAACATGACTGAGCACCACATAATCATAATATACTAAAAATAATATGTAAAATGACAATGGTTGTAAATTCATTAAATTATTTTACGAAACTTACAATTGTTGTGAGATTTTTTTCGAACATAAACAGGTGTGTTTCCCTTTTATTTAAATCACTCTTCTTCATGTTTAACTTTTTTGCTTCTTTGCGTAATAATTCTTCATTTTCTTTGAAATCTTTTAAGTTAATAGCCTTATGCATTTTCAAAAATAAAAGGAATACGAAACTTTCTATACAATGATGTTTTGTTGTTGTTTTTACGACTTTGACTATTGATCAAAGAGTATAATAAGTATACTATAGAAAGAGGGGCAACTCGCACGAAGTCGTGGATCCACGGCGATTGTGGCGCTCCATGCGTATAATCGCTGAACTAATTTTTTTTTTTTTTTGGTATCTATATACGTAGGCACGCTTATTTAGCTCACTATAATAATAACTGATAAGTGGGAATCTAATTTATGAAATTAAAATTGACATTAAATCAATGTTCAAAAATAATACACCCACTTATCAGTTATTATTATAGTGAGCCGATATCAAGTAGCCTTCTATGAAATACCTCTATTAAAATGATCCTATTAATATTGGGGAAATAAAAACAAAATATTTTTGTATTTTTGTATATTATTTATTATATTTCTACATAACTTAATTTAAAATCTATGCAAGTACATATACATCAATGACTTTCAAGATATCAGCTCAATATTTTAATATTTAATATATATATTTGAAAATTACATTTACGGTAATAAATAGTATAGCGCGGTCACAAAAAAATGCA